ACCCGTACTGTTGCCCACCTAAAGAATTAAGACTTGTTTGCGGGAAGTATGTGACAAAATTACACCTGAAACACTTCACTTGGTTTGTTCAGTCCCTAGACAAAGTGTTTTGAATAGGAATGGCAACATTACAAAGTGGCAAATACTATTCCAACTTTTTTTTAAATGTGTTGCAAGAACCATAATTGGGATACTAAAGAAAATCGTGTTTATTTAAAAACAAAAAAATCAAAATCAAAATCACGAGGAGTACATTAAATAATGGTTGTTGTTTTGTCTGCAATGAAATACGAGTTAAAGTAAATTTAGAAATCACTACATTCTTTTTTTGTTTACGTTTTCCATACTGTCCCAACTTTTTCTGATTTAGGGTTGTATGAACCTTTTTAGAAATAAAGGTGACTTTACTACAGAGCTGTTTAACGCTTGACTCTAATTATTGGCAAATATTCATGTTCATGCAAATAGTGTGAAGATATTTTAATTGGAACAACCAATGTAGTTCCATGTAGGCCTGACCACATTAGTTTCATTTCACATTTTAACATCCAATTACAGAGCACCTCAGTCATTTAGGAGACATTCTTTTCATTATAGCTTCTCACTGGTCATGACAATGTCAAACTGTGCTCAATTTCTGAGAATAGGGAGCCATGCTGATTTTTTCAGGGTCTGTAAAATAAACAAACGAACAAATAAATAGATGTGACTTTGCACAAATTCTGTGATTGTGTCACCAATTGTAGGAAAATTGAAAACAAGCAGGACATAATATAATAGTGCCAGAAAAAGTTGTGACAAAAAAAATCTTGCTACCATTTCACTTGAAGAGTTAGGCTATCGGCCTTGTCTTGATAATGGTAGTTCAGTCTTATTCGTAAACTAATTTATAGTAAAACTATTTCATCTAACTATCTCTACTTTTAGTCTAAATGTTTGACCTTGTGTACACTGCAAATTTTAGATAGTAGATTTAACTACCTTGGGGTTAAAATTAACACTCCCTCAGAGTTTATATAGGAACCACTATAAGTGTTAAAATAACACTTTTAAAAGTGTTAACATTGTCAACACCAAGATAGTGTTAATTAGCAAACTCTTATTGTGTAAAATATCTGTTAAATTTCCGAAAAAATACCAGCAGCTGTGGTTGCCAGATTCTTTCTGTGAAAAACATGGAAGTTTTATATAATTGTATAAATTTACAAAAAATAACCATATTTCATGAACTAATACAATGTTCAGTTCACAAAATCATAGCTTAGTGCAAAAAAATGTAAAGCCTTTAGATGCTATAATGTTTTCATGTGTGATTGCAGTTAGCAAACAGATTTTGACTGCATTAGTAACTACACAGTTACCTTTACACAAAAGAAGATGCAGCATAACATCAAATACTCTCAGTTCATCTTGGACTTGAACAGAGATGCTATTATCCTCCACAATGGTGACACAAAAACCGTTTAGCTGTTTTTCTTTTTTTTTTTTTTCATTTTTAGATTTTACGGAAAAATACCAGCAGCTGTGGTTGCCAGTAATCTGCTGTTTTTAACATTCATAAATTCAGTTTACAGAATATTTCTGTTAAAACACATTCAACAGTCTGTATTTTTTATCGAACTCATACTGCAAATTTTAGATTTGGTAGCTTTAACTACCTTAGAGTTAAAATTAACACTCCCTCAGTGTTTATATGGGAACCACTATAAGTGTTAAAATAACACTTTTGAAAGTGTTAAAATTTTTAACACCCAGAGTGTTAATTAGCAAACTCTTATTGTGTAAAATATCTGTTAAATGTATGTCAAAATACTGGCAGCAGTGGTTGCCAGTAATCTGCTGTTTTCAACATTTTACATTCATAAATTCAGTTTCCAGAATATTTCTGTTAAAAATAAATCCCATAGTCTGTATTTTTCATTCGAACGCACTTAAGCCTTAAATTCCAGAGCAAAATCCTAACTAGTGTCCTCACTACAGAGGGCTGAACACTCTTAGACAATTAAGTGTCTAATTGAAGGAGGATTGAGAATTATTGATGAACAACTGTTAACAAGCAGAATCACTGAAGGAAAGAAAAACACAAGCCAAAACCAAAGATGAAATCAACTGAGAAAAAAAACTCTAAATAAAATAATAATCAATAAAAATAAAACAAATTACACAATAAAAAAAAATATATTTTTCAACATCTTTAAAAATAACTCATCACATTAAACAACTTATCATGGAGCTTCACCTATTACTGACCTTTGACTTTATTTCTGTCATGTGAACAAAAGCTCTTAATGAAATTTGTTGTTCATTTGAAGTCACCATGATGGAGGACAGAGTCTGCTTTAGTCAGGCTCTTTAACTTCATGCTATAAAAGGCTTTTATTTTGACTGCTATAGTTAGTGTTAATTACACTATTTATACATATAGCATGGAATGCCAAAAGGAAATTAAAGTGTCAGTCTGAAGAGATTATTTATGGTATTATAGCCATCCTTTTCTGCTTGTTTTCTAATTCAGTATCACATTAGTTATGTGTGAGAAATAAATAATATGCATCAGTGAAACCACTGAACCTCCAATAATTAATTACTTTATAACAGGTTTAAAACACTATTTACAATGAGAATGTTTGATCAATGGCAGAACTTAAAAACACACAGACATCAACAATTAGTCTTTGAATCTCAATAATGGTGACAAAAAAAAAAAAAAACACTTTACTGAAATATCACCTCCCAAAAAACAACACAAAATAAAGGAAAAGAAAGAGATTGTAAGAACATAAAGCTTCATAATTTATTCATGCTGCAATGCATGCTGGGAGCTTTGTACTATGCTGGCACCCAGCATGCATTGCCGCATGAACTATGCAGCTTTTTTTTTTAGCAACCACAGTTGAGGTTCATATCCTGATTCTTGATGCCTTTGTGTCATAGTAATCAAGTTGGAGCTTGAATGTTTGGTGCATGACACTCTAATTATTAATTGCATCCTAATTGTTTGATGAATCTTCTATGAAGTGCAGCAGAATGCCATTAGTATTGTCCCATGTATTTTTAATACAATTATATTTGGATATTTTATGAATCAACTTATTAAACGCCTGAGATTATATCGATAACAATTAAGCTTAAACAGTATAATTTCTCTTGACCTTCCTTGCTATAGCTGATGCGATTCAGAAACACAGCTATAATAGTCAGAGAAACATTAGGATATAAGAGTAAAGCTTCAAGATCTCAAATAAGCAGCTTCAGATCTCTATGATGGTGAGGTCAAATGAAATATTTTTAATACAAAAATATAAACCTCTGTTCATTGTCAAATATTTTTACAGAAATGAAGTCAAACTGTAATCAGTGAAGCTGCTTATACTATTATTTAATGGAGTTGTTTAATCCTCTGTTTTAATTCAGTTGGTTTGGTGTGAGGCTGTGTCTGTAGTTTTAGTTCTTCCTTTAATTTCTTATTCCTTCAGTGATTGTGCTTGTTAACAGCAGGTGTTTAACAGCAGGTGACTGAATTCACTTATTTGTGGTCATTCACTCTGTCTAGTGGACTAAACTAATTGACCAATTTAAGGGCCAGGTGAATGAGGGTGTGGCGAGATTTCAGACACTCTGATTAGTTTCTCAAATACAAGGGTTTTCTACAAAGCTAGATACATGTATGACAAGGAGGCAAATCAGCTTCTAACGCCGAGAGGGTTATTTTAGCTTTATCTAACTCTAGAATTTTAACACTTTACTCTGAATTACCACAACACTTGAAATTTAACACCAATGAATTTGCTGTGTACTGCTGGTTTTGACGTTATAAGGAATGGCTAAGTTATTTGGAAAACAAAAAAGATAAAAACATCTAACTCTTTACATAGGAGGCATTTTAATTTAATAATAATTTGCTGGTTACAATGACAATGAACGAAGAAATCACCATTTGTACAGTACATGTTTGGACAGAATCAACTCCTGTTTATAATCTATGAATAAGCAATAAACCTAGTATATTTTAAAATGTTACAGATAAGGGTATAGACAGTATCAATATATATGAGTGACAAACTTTTTCTTATTTTTTTCCCCACAGTGTTTCTTTTTTTGAGTTAATTCAATTGATATCAGCCAAAACTAAGTTCAGAATGCTACTTTTAATATTCTTTATTGCTTTAAACATGACCTTACACACATAAAGACCACAGTGAAGCAAAAACACAGACAGTAACTCAAAGAAATATGACCACATACAGTAAAAATGAAGCACAGTGACATCTCATTTTGGAAATGCAACTAGACTTTGACAATGTATGTCTGGAAAAAAAAAGTACAAACACGATGAAATTGAGTAATTTTTTTATATAAAAATAAATATTCCATGCTTTAGTATACTCTAAAATATAGTAACTGTTTCTCTCTGGTACATACTACTATAAATTATGAGAAACGTGTTCTGATTTCTCTCTTAAAAACTCAAACAAATAATCTTTGATCATATTAGGTGTTATTCTCAATTAGTTTTTGATAATATATTTCCTAAGTTGAGCACAGAATATTTATACTTTTATTTGGAACTATTTTAAAGCAATACATTCCATCTTAACTCTTCTTGAACTTTTAGTGATATGTTCATTTATTGCCAGCATCCAAAGTTCTTTCAATTGCTGGATTGACAGAGCCTACCTATGTTAGCTCTACTTTAAAGTAGAGATAACATGTAATATACCTGAACATTAAAAAGTTAATTGTTTAAACCAGGGATGTCGAAACCTAATCCTGGAGTTTCACTGTCCTGCAGAGTTTAGCTCACTTCAATACATTTGTCTGGAAGTTTCTAGTAAGCCAAGTAAAACCTTGATTAGCTGATTCAGCTGGTTGGCTGGTTCAGGTGTGTTTAGTAAGGGTAGGAGCTAAAGTATTCAGGACAATGGCCCTCCACAAGCAGGATTGGCCTTGTATTGGTTTTAAGGGCATTATATACTAAATTGGAACAGGAGACAGAAACATTTTCAGATGTAAGACAGTAGTTGGTTTTATTAAAATACATATAAAACTATTCTGTGTGAGGTGTGCACAATGGATGACGTCACATGAAAATCCAAAAATAAAGGTTTCTACATATAAGACATTTCAAATTATAGAATAGAAATCAAAACAATTTTCTGAAAGTGTTGTGGAACACTGGATGTCTGTATATGTATTTAGGGTATAAGTGGAAACAAATCGGCTTTATTTTATATACACAAGCATTAGCTTATAGTTTGCACTAAATTATGAGGCTTCAGAAACCCCATCCACTTTTCCAATGCTAACAAATAAACAATCAAATTAATTAAATAAATAAATAATGCCATTGTTTGCCACTACACGCCATTAAGGAGAAATTCTCAGCTCAATTATTGTATTCTTTCAAATGTTATTCCAGTGAATTTGAATCTGCTACATTGTCTTTCGAGGGCAAGTGTTTCCTTCAACTATCTTGTTAGAGACACAAATCCAGACAACGTGAATGTGATATTGATAAAAGGGAGTACTTTATGTCACAACTAACAAAGTTGAAAAACAAGCACATTATTAAATATTTGTTTCTCTCTCTATCTAATTTACAAAACATTAAATTTTCTTTTTTTTTCTTTTTTTTGCCACTCTCAGGGCATGTATTTTAGTTTATGTAGCTATAATGTTTCTATAGTATTTTAATAATGGTAATATAATTTTCCCTATATTATATTATATAAATCACTTTTAAGACACAAAATAACCCAGACAGGCCCGGCCCCACTAGCCCTTCCCAATACAGTCATTTTGTGATTTAAATATAGGAACAACTAAACATAGAAAAATGTCAATTTCACAGTACTCTTAGTACTCTTTCTCTAAGTACATGAGAGTGAACAGCCCTGTTGAACTTCTACATTTTTTTCTTCAAATCTGTGCACAATTAATGACAAAAAATCATTTAAGGGTACAAGTTGCACAACCTTAATAAACATAAAACAGTAGATAGATATGCAGTTACAGAATTTAGCAGGCAGTGAACAGAAAGGTAATTTAAAAAATGTAAACCAATGAATGATCTAAAGAGATTCCTGCCGGAGTGTCTTTCTGGTTTACCCCACAAAGTTATTATTTGCTGGGCAAGGTTTTGATAGAGCGATTAAGAGAGCCCATATTAATAGATATATGAACTTGAGGACTTGCAGTTTTATTTGGGAGGCTACTAGAATGTCCCATTGCCTCTTCAGCAGCACGGAGAAGAAGTGTGTAGTTGACGGCTACCTCCTCTACCTTACGTAAAAGCTGTAGTTTTTGAGTTTCAGATCTTACTCCCCTGACCAGTTGAATGAATGTCTGAGTAAGGTTACACAGCACCTGAAAGCTAGCTGTGACAGCACTTAGCATTCGCGAGGGACTTTTCTCAACACTTGCCACTCGTCTACACGATGCCCTGAACTCCTTAAAACGGACTGCAAGTTCTTGCTTGTACTCTGCAAGTGTTGCAGAAGGGATACGTGGTTCACCCTCTATTTGGGGACTGTTGGCACACTGCCTTAAAATTGAGAGCAGCTCATTTGCATCAAGCTGCGCATTTAAGAATCCATCCGGCAACGAGAATGTTTTGTCTTGCAAAGATTTTACTCTTGCCAAGCTAGCTTCCAGGTTCCCACATACACGAAGATCAATCCTTTGTGTTTGTGGCTCCTCTTCTTGCACCTCCTCTTCTCCACAGCAGTCCTCTGCATCAAGTACCTGAAGAGTTTTGCTGATAACTGGCATTGTTCTGGAATCTAGATGCATTCCAGGCAAGACTTGTAAGGGTATGGAATAAGAGAGTTCATCTTTTTCGCTGCTTTCATCAGCAGCCTCACATTTGCGATAACAAAAGCAGAAAGAGCAACATTTTTCTCTGTCCTCTGTATCCTCACTTGGTAATCCTAGAACTTCAGCTGTACCCTCACGACTTTCCTGAAGGATCTCCTCTCCCTGAATATAAAATATCTTCTTTGCGTCCCCATCTTTAGTATGTACAGGCTCCACTGGAGTTGGAAGTCGAAGTCCAGTGGCCCTGACTCTTTCCATTTCTTTCTCAAGGCTCTTTGCTTTTGTAGTTTTAACTTCAGCATACAGGGGGGTGCTGCCATTATTTTCGATTTCCCCTATACTATATCTCCTTTGTAGCTTTTTGTAATGTGGTGCACCTATGGATTCTGTACGGGTGGTGCACATGGGCAAGCATGATGTTGGTATATCTCTGGGTTCCCTTGACTCAAGACTTGTGGAACGGATTCGAGTAGTTTTGATTTCTAAAGTCTGATTTTTTTGCAATTCACCTTGTGGAGTATGTGGAGACTTTGGAATAGCTGGGGGTGTTTTAGAAATTGCCCGTTCTCTTCCTCTCTGTTCTGTTGCAGAACCAACAGCTGTATCTGGGAGACGCATTCCACGGCACATTCTTTTACAATCACAACTGCGCCTCTGTTCTCTTGAGATCCCAGGAACTTTTTGTACAGGACTTGTGCGCAGCTGGCAGGCACATGGGGTAAATGAAGGAACAGGAGAAGATCCCTGTGGCAAGAACTCTCCTTGTGATGTTTTAGGTTTTAGAAGCTCCTCTAGGAACTCTAGCTCATACTGCCTGACCTTTTGAAGTTGTGCACGACGCTCATCTGTTTCTCTGCGCAAACGTGCAGGAAAAGTGGCTGAAATTAAGTTCCTAAAACTTAGGAATGGAGTACTTCGCTGAGATTTGCCTTTGTTATTTGCCTGTTTCTTATACTCAGCACCTGGGATCGTTGCACCCTTTTCCACACAACTCAACATGTGTGTTGGGTCTACATTAACAGGTAAACTTTTAGCAACTTTCTGTATTTCCACAGGGGATTTACTCTGGGAGTTCTCTGCCTTTGCCTCTGACATCTCTTTTTTTTCTACTTTAGCAGACATAACTGGTGAGTACTTAGTAGAAGGCAGGGTGTTGGGCGTCACTAAGCTTGCATCTGATGTCTTTGCAGTGTTCTCTTTAGCTAACTGAAGTCCTTGAGCATGAAGACGCTCATCATCTGTGGGAGACAGTGAGTGAAACACTACCAGTTTTTGAACCTGTGGATCTTTCAGACGCACCTGTGGGCCAGGCTCTGGTCGTATTGGACATGTGCAGAATAAGTCAGCTGTTGGTAGAAGGCCTTTTGAACTTGAAGGCTTAGTGGTCTCACTTGAGGCATTCTCGGCATCTTGGCACCTATTTGTTGAACAAATCTTTGCAGATGTAGTTCTATCCACAGGCAAGAGAACAGGTAAGGCTATACTAGTAGTTTCAAGGGTTTTTGCACAAGAGTCTTCTTCCTGTGCACCTTCTGAGGTAATGGTGCTTGGTTTTTCTTCATTAGCGAGAAGTAGTTCTGTGTTGACTTGGGGAGCACTCCCATGTTCTGGTGCTTTAAGTTCCTCAGAAATTTGCAGTTTCGATTCTTCCAAGCATTCTGTGACAAGGTCCTTTTCAGTTATTTCTATATCCTTCTCACCGTTGGCTTCATGGCTTTTGCCCCACTCAGCAGACTTATCAGAGTGACTAATTTCTTTATTTGGAGATATTTTTAGGGGCAAGGTCTTACTTAAAATCACAGGCTTTGGTGGACAGCTGCCACGGATCTGACTCATTGAAAAAGCCCCTCCACCAATAGCTTGTGTTGTACAGCCAGGGATTGTCAAGGGGAAATCTCGTCGACTGAAAAGTCGCTCTTTGTTGATGTGGTGGGCTAGTAAATAGGCCTGGTTCTGATGTTGCTTCATGGCAGAAACCATCTCCGACACATCAGTTAACTCTGATGAATTTGTCTCATGTCCAGAGTCTAGAGATGATTCAGGAGTTATGGCAGCCAGTACAATCAACCCTGTAAACACACACACACACGCAAACACAAGCATTTTTGTAAGAAATTGCATAAGTACAGTTACTTCAGGTAAACAAAAAGTATAGAGAGACATTCAAACAAAAAAAAACTATTTTAAATAAGTTAATGATATAAACTTCTTATCATGTTTGTTATTTTGTTAAGTAGGCAACATTACACTAAAACTAGTTTTGGGACCTTCTAACTTGATATGTTAAACTACTATAAGTTGAAGATAGCTTGTCAAAATAAATGCTCAATCCACCGTTTTTAAAAATGTTATTTACTACTGTGACTGTTTTATGATTTTACACATTTCTTTCAAAATATTTATTTACTTTTTGACATGTTAAAGAACCAGCACTTTTAATAGTACACATGGCCACCTGTTGTCTGTGGTGTCTGCTGTTGATGGTGTGGATAATCCTCCGATGCAGCTAGTGCTTCCAGCGCCTGTAGGGTAGATACTAATGCATCATCTAACTCCTGAGCATGGTCTTGAACTGTTCTTGTTGTCACATTATCAATCAGTGTTACCGGAACTTCATCTTGACCCTGTGCCACAGCAGTGGAGGCTTTGATTCCTTTCCGACCCTTTTTCGGATCATCTTCATCAGAGCTGTTATCACGAAACCCTGGGGGTGGTGCTGCAATTGCAGCATGAGTGGGGGGTTGCAGTTTTCCTCCTCCATCCTCTATCTCCTCATCTTCCTCATTCCCAGGTAGTGGTAAGGCAATGAGGTCAACAGCCCCTCCTTCACGAGAAGAACATGCATTTGTGCACTGCTGCAAAATGAGTCTTCCAGTCTCCCCAGTTTTTTGGATTATACCTTCAGCTTGGAGTTTTGCCTTGCAAAATTCACAAAAAAACTTCTGTGAGGTCTCAAGTGTTTTTGCTCTGTTCCTGAAGCTCAAGCTCTCCTCAGTGGGTCCATCGTGTTCAGCCACAGATTCAGTGCTCTTTAAAGTGGGGTCAGACTTTGTTCGTGAGCGACTCTGCACCTGCGAAATGAGGTTCTCGTTAATGTCAAGTTCCTGTTCAGCTTGTATCTGAAACTCTTGCAGCTGTTGTTGTTCTTTCAAATGAATGTGGCATAGGCCAAGGTGCTGAGGTATGGGCGATGCTGATGTCTTCTGTGTTGTCTCTCTGGATGATGTCTCTCGCTCTTCCCGACCACTTCCACTTAACACAGTGGCTCCAGATCTGGTTTGGGCATGGGAGCTTCTGCAATCTAAATGACAGAAGTGTCTGAGAGGTTGAACGTGTAGAAAACATGATTCATGGGAATGAGTCCAGATGACAAAGGTGAATCTGTTGAATAGTTTTCAGAGATGGAAAATAACCTTGTGGGATGTGATGATATGCTTTTTCGTTGGCAGACCACAGATGTAAAAATCCAATGGATGGTTTAGCAAAGCAATGCAAAATATAAAAAGCTTCCAGAAACATTAAATCATTCTGATTAGCATTTCAGTTATAATCACTTACATTGGTTCCACCTGAAGATTGAGATAAATAACTTAGATTTCTCTTTTAAAGCAAGCTTATGAATTGATTTCATGATTGGTTGATTTATTTTTCTGTCTATTACAAAAAACAAGGTTAATTTCAAATATATTTAGATCTACCTCTATTACATCTGTTTTGTTTTTATTTGTCCCAAACTGCATATGTAACACAACACATGTTAGTTCAGCAGGTAAATGAAAGATGGAAATCAAAGCAAATGTACAGTTACATGCAATGAATTTTATTGTATTTAATGAAATTGCAACTCTAATATCTTTGCATAACTACCATTTCTAACATACCTGCCTTGATCACATAAGGCTGACCAGGTATCCTGCAGTAGATAGTCCTTTTAGGGTCCACAAATAGCTTGTAATAGCCAGAGATCAAACAGGCAAAGTTTGATGCATCTGGCCACTCCATTAACAAGACCAAGGGCTGCAATAAATAGTATAACATAAAAAGCATTGGAGCATAGTTTGCAATAGTATATATTCCAATGAATGTATTATATTTAAAACATAGAGGTGAAGGGCGAGGTGGTTGGTAGGCTTAAGTTAGAAGTTACTGTGATAAAAAGTATTCTGCTGGTGTGTTTGAAAGATCTTGTTGGAGAGCATTTTCCCCCATACCTTTGCGTCCAGAATAACAACCTCGACCCGGGCTACTCCATGATGCTCTCTAAACAGCTGGACTTTGGCAACACGGCTGAACTCTGCTAAGACAGTTGTTAGGTTGTTCTTCAGGTCGATCACATGACTGATGCCATGGCGTGGTCCGACCAACAGGGTAGTGGCTGATTGCTTCTCCTCCTTTTAGTAGAAAAAGAAAATGAGAAATTTTAGTATAAATAGATATTGCCCAGTATAAACAATTCACCCCTTTTAAAAAGATTTTTTATTTATTTCTTAGTGAATTTAAGACTAACCTGGTCTCATCTTTAGGATGAGAAAAAAACAATAAATTTAATTAAAATAATGTGTTGAAAAATGATTATATCCTACAACCAACTGAACTAAATCTGACATTTTGTATGGTCTTCTTGATTTTTAAGAACAGAACCAATTCTTCAAGACACTAACTAACCAATTGGTAACATACAACGAAATTTTTCTTTTTTAAGAATTAACTTTTCAGATCTTGGATGGAGAACAATAGTCATCTTGTCTTTTCAAAACTCTCTTAAAGTGTTGTTGGGTTGAAGTCTGGGGACACCACCAGCAGAACAAGGCTGGTGGTGGTTAACTGTCTCGAGTGTTACAGACGAGCTCTGAAAACTTAAAAGGAGGAGAGACAGCAGTGGAGGATGACAGAGGACCAGGCTTGCACACTTTATATTGGTTTTGCTTTTGCTTTTTTTTCACATGACTGATGCCATGGCTTGGTCCGACCAATAGGGTAGTGGCTGATTGCTTCTCATCCTCTTTTAGTAGAAAAGAAAATGGGAGGTTTTATGAAGTATAAATACAATACAATACAATACCCAGTATTAACTCACCCCTTTTAAAAAGATTTTTTATTTATTTCTTAGTGAATTTAAGACTAACCTGGTCTCATCTTTAGGATGAGAAAAACTATACATTTAATTTAAACAATGTGTTGAAACATGATTATACCCTACAATTAATTGAACTAAATCTAACATTTTGTATGCTCTCCTTGATTTTTAAGAACAGAACCAATTTATCAAGACACTGAATAAACCAATTGATAACATACAACTACATTTTACTTTTCTTTTTTTGAGAAATGAGCTCTTTAGATCTTGTCTTTTTAAAAATATCTGGGTCGAGGGCTGGGGACATGTTCTTCTTCAGAAACGAATAAGTGACTTTTTTTGTAAGATTTGGTGGGTAATTATAATGTTGAAAGACGGTCTGGTGACCCAGGACATAGGGGTTTCATCAAGGGGTGCAAGAACCTAAGGGGTACACTCCAGTAATAATTGGCAGTGACGGATGATTTATGGTTAGCTGTTTTAGGAACCCAACACAGATTGGCATTTTGTTATTTAAGAAACAGGCTCAGCCATCACACCAGCCACAATTATTTCTACAACTTATTTATCTTACTTTTATATGCACAGGAATTACTGACATACCCATTGCAGTACCTATCCTTTACAGCTATACCAGCTTCAACTCTTCTTGGAAGGCTTTCCACAAGGTTTAGAGCATTTTTTTTAACATTCTTCTAGAAGAGCATTTATGAGATTGCACTGTTGTTGGATGAGAAGACCTGGCTGGCAATGACTACTCTAATTCATCCTAAAATATTCTTTCATGTTAAGCCACAACATCTATGTTTACAACATCAATGTTGAACTTGCTCATCCATGTCTTTTTGGATCTTGCTTTGTACATGGATGTGCAGTTATGTTGAAACAGAAAGGGGCCTCCCTCAAACTGTTCCTACAAAGTTGGGGGCAAGAAATTCTTGAAATTGGGAAATTAAGTTGCCCTGCCTGCCTGTTCACTAGACCTTTGCTGCAATCACACTAAAATTTGAGCATGCAAAATTCTGTCATAAGGCGCTGCGAAAAGGGGCGGGATCAAACAAGATGATTAGACATTTAAAAAAGTGAGCAATTGGTCCATATTTAAAATTTCTGAGAGATCATATTACAGAGAGGTCATGTTTCGATCTTCGATTGGTCTGATGCAATCACGTAATGCAATTTTGCAGGTCACAGTTTACCAAGCTTGAACTTTGCAACGCAGCTAACTGCGAAACTTGTCGCACAAGCTTGCATTTCTGATCTCGCATGATTCGCATGCATATAAATAGTGAAAAGTGCACTGTGACCGTGGCTCTGCACCAGTATGATTAGTATCATTTAATCATTCAGGTGATTTCTGTTACCAATATTCAAGAATAAAATATTTAGGCTATATTAAGAAGATATGTATTTTATGATTTTAAAAGCTTTGTCTGTAGACCTGATTCACATTTCTCTTATGTGTTTATTAATTGGTACACTTTTTCTTTTCATTAAATATTTCAATAATAATAGAACATTTTACCTCTCTGTCTCCATGACTAGGCAATTTTCTATAGAACATTGTAGCGAGTGAGGCGGGGCTGAGAGCCATGAGAGCAGAACAAGGCTGGTGGTGGTTAACTCTTGAGTGTTACAGAGAAGCGCTGAAAACTTAAAAGGAGGAGAGACAGCAGTGGAGGATGAGAGGAACAGGTTTGGACACTTTATATTGGTTTTGCTTTTGCCCATTTGGCCTCTGCCCATTTGTATTTTGTTAATTTTCATTATTAAATTTATTGGATTATTAAGTTCATTAGGCTGGACGGTGGTGCAGTGGAGTTTGCATGTTCTCCTCGTGTCCTCTGGGTGCTCCGGTTTCCCCCACAAGTCCAAAGACATGTGGTATAGGTGAATTGGGTAAGCTAAATTGTCTGTAGTGTATGGGCCATTTTTCAACTACAGGCACTTTTAGACTTGTTGCGAAAAAAAAAAAACTTATTCAAAATGAACGTAACAGCCTCATAAGTTTATACAGTTTGTGTAGTTTTAAGATCTGTAAGAAGACAAACTTAGATAAGAAGAGAAACATTTTTTTTCCATTGTGAACTAAACAAATGTCAACTCCACCACATCTCAATATACAGCTTTTATTTCAAAATGAAATAAATGATGGCAGTCAAACATTGTCTAAGATCATTTCTGTATCTAGTTTAACCAATCTTTCCACAATATATAATAATTATACATTTGTCAATGAAATAAATTAGTTTTATGCTGAATTGTACACCTGGCACACTCTAAAATTTAATATTAATTTGGTTTAGAGCTTATTAGAAAATAATTAAACTGAATTTGTATATCAAAAAGAGCACGAACCTATACATTGTGAATACACCTATGTATGCCTGTGAATGCACTTATACATTGTGAATGAAAATGAAAGTGGTGGACATTTGAAAAATAGCTTCACCGATTAGCTTTGCATTGATACTAGCCTTTCATGTATACAAAACACTCTTATTTACCTTCATTTTGTTTGGTTTTTAAAAACACCTTTGAAGGTACAACATGTTTGGAAATGACGTAGAATAAATGTATTTCCTCATCAAGCAATATTTACCTTGATTCTTCAAGTGTTGTTGATAAAAATTTTAATTCCCTCCATCTTGAACATGTTCTCAGATGCCACTATTCATTTTCATAGAAACCACCTCAATAATCTTTCACACAAACTTTTTAAAGCAACATTATAGTGTTGTGGTGGAAATGACAATGATATTGTGCGACAGCTATATTTTGTATAAAAAATAATATTGATATTAGTCTCACATTAATAACTATAAAATATTTAAATTATTTTACTTGTGCTTAATTAGGATACATTAATAGATACCAGATAAATAATATTTTAAAATGTTATTTTTATTGTTGAAGTTTAAAAACTCTGGGTGTGCGACAAGGTGAAAACAGTGATGTTGACATAAAAAGAGGTTGAATAATATGAAAAATATAAAATGGAAAGGTAGTAAATTTTTTAAAAGTATGTTGTATTGTTAGCTTAACAAAGAAAGAGGAATTTGAACAAAATTATATATATATTTGGATATATGATAAAAGGACATAAAAGTGCCCGTAGTTGAAGAATTACCCATATGTGTGTAAATGAGTGTGTATGGATGTTTCCCAGTGATGGCTTGCAGCTGGAAGGCCATCCTCTGTGTAATACCTGTGGCTGGATAAGTTAGCGGTTCATTTTGCTGTGGCAACTCCAGATTAATAAAGGGACTAAGCCGAAAAGAAAATCAATGAATTATGTTAATTAGATTACCATGTCTTTCCTGATGGAGCCATGAGCTTTATTACAAACATTATAAACATTTGGAAGTATTGGATGTGCACATCATAATTTAAGCTATCGAAATTATACATTTAAAATTTTAAAAGATATGTTTAATCCTTGCTCTCTTTGGAGTGAAAGTAAATGGAGTCAAAGAGTTAATTCTGCTGACTCCAAAATAAAGAGTTGACTCCTAAAAACTTGGAGGTTTTTTATGCAAGAGAAACATGTTCTCTTGCATGGGAGAACATGCAAACTCCACACAGAAACGCCAACTGAGCCAAGGTTCGAACCAGTGACCCAGCGGCCTTCTTGCTGTGAGGCCACAGCATACCTACTGTGCCACTGCGTCGCCATTCTTATTTCAATCTCAAGAAAACACTGATGCTTGCAATCAAAGGCAGCATAATTTAAGGGCATAGCTGCGAGTGAGACCGAGAAAATGAAAGTACATCATTGTATATATTTTTTGTTGGTCAGTTATCTAATAGATATACAAGAATAACGAATAACATCTCAGGGGAAGTGCTTCAAAACCAGTCTCGAACTCTTTTGGAAGGGTGTTATGTCTGCTTATTTGTGCCAGTCTGTCTGATAAAATAGTTTAAAACACCTTGAATGGTAGCGGTTCCATGCGAGGAGGCTGCGCAGCCACAGGCTGGGCCTGGAGTTGCCCCCGCTCAAGTGCTGAGACTGCAGTTTCCACCCAGTATAGGCAAGCAATATTTGTCTCGTTAGCTTTGGCTTTTGGAGAGTTTACTCATTTTGAACTTTGTTTTAATCGATCATGAAGTGAAGAGTGGGGTGGGGGAAGGGGGGAGTATCTGATGAAATAAACGAAAAGTGGGGGGGATCCTAAAGCAGGTCGCACACCAGAAGTGCCATGCAGCGCAGCGCCATGCATTGTAGAATTCTAAACATAGGTTTCTTTCAGGATACACACACCGGTGCCGCAAGTCGGCGACGCAGTTCATTTTTCAGCCGCGCCACAGAGCGCCATCTGATTAATTTCATGTTAAATATCATTCGAATGTGCGCATCTGGTGTGTGATACTTTAAACTGTCATGTGCGCGCCGTGTCAAGGCACCGAGCGGCACTTCTGGTGTGCGACCTGCTTAAGAGCATACGGCCACTGTCATTGGAAATTTCTGTAAATACAGACTGTATATATGTTATTATTTGGGAGCAGAGGGGGCCCCTAAGTGGTTCAGTGGTTCTATATAGGGAGGTTTAGCTCTGTGTAGAAGTTACTGACACCTTTCATCAAAAGTTTAAACACACAGAACACTGGAACATATTTAAACATATAATGGGGTAGAATGGTAAAATACAGGAAAAAAAAACAAGAGAGTTGACGTATGATAAATGCAAACAATGTAATGTCTTCATTATTCGTACAGATTCTCAATTTTTTTTTACCAAGCCAACTGTGTGAAACAAGAAGCCTCCAAATGGTGGAAGGTCATTCAAGACACGCATGTATTGTAGTTTTCCTTGAAGAGGAGAAACCTGCATAGAAACACATGGATAAAGAGAAAACTATAACTTGTGAGTGATATTCTGGCCAGCAGATGGCAATGTTTTGCTACTATCCTTTCTGATATGGCTACAAGTGTTTAGTACAGATACATTATTTGAACTGTTTTGCATATTCCTCCAGCATTTACATCAAACAAAGGCATACATATAGCACATAAATATGAAAAACCACAATGCAAATTTAAGAGAAAAATGATTTCTTCATCGCATTTGAGGAGAATGACTTCAATTTAAAGTATTCTTAGCAAACAGGTATACCTTATTACCAGCTGGTGGGGGATGCTGATATGTCTTCAAAAGCTGTGAGAGAGTCTTGCAGACATTTTTTTCCTTGATGGTTGGCAACAAAGCCAAAGGAAGGAAAGGTTCTAAGCCCCATTCTTTCCTAAAGAAAATGACAAGGTTTAATCTTCAAAGCACATTTAAACATCTCAAAGACCTTATAGTACTCTTAGATGTTTTTACAGGTGACATGCCACTGGTGGATATATATATATATATATATATATATATATATATATATATATATATATATATATATATATATATATATATATATATATATATATATATATATATATATACTGTTGACAGATGTATAAATATGCAAATATTTTACTGTTGACAGATGCATTATCTTTCAATTATTAAACACATATTATTTAGCCCTTTGGTTCACAACAAACATCTGTTTTGTGAACAATTAAGACAAAATATTTCAGTATTTAAAGCTGAGGATGAAAGAAATTCTCTTTTTTTTTAAAAACACAAAGACTTACTCAACATGCTTTAGAGAGATCTTCTGATTAGGTCTCGCAATTGACACAGTGATGTAGATGTGAAGGGCTGCCAACCTAAGTGTGACATCAAACTTCCAGTCCATTCCAAATCGCTCTTTAATGACGTCATTGCGGCTCTTTGGGATTTCAGAACAAATAATAGATCAAGAGGCTTTATGCTAGCATTAAACTAGTCATGTGAACTGAACATACATTTCTTCGTACATGAACAATCATGACTTAATACACCTGTATGTAGAGGTACTCGAATGCAGCAGGGTCTCTCCTTAACAAATCAGAGGGGTCCTTTGGGAAGAAGCAGATACGGAAAAGACACTTCATTCCTTGGAAGTAAGTCCTATGGACTACCTGAAAATAGAAAATAAAATAAAAATGAATACAAAATACTAGCTGACAAACCAAATGCAATCATATTTTCAGGCTTTCACTGTTCTTAAAATGAGCAACATGTAGGGATTTAGAATAATTAAACCGATAAAGTAATTCCTGTCACTAGAAATTGAGTACAGAGTATTCAGCAAATTATTATGGATGGTCAGATGTTCTTAAATTGGTTGAAATATCAGAAAAATATAGATTTAAGTCAGATTAGCATATTAATACTACTATTGTTAAATGTATATGAATTCTACAAACCAATAAGTGATTCTTAGTTATCTGTCACATTTCTATAGGAGTAACCCACATTTAAGGCAAATTTTTAACTGTTTGACTAGAGTAAAACTAATGCATTATTCATGTTTTTTAGTGTCATTTACATGAGACAGTGGCTGGTTTTCCTGGAGTAGATGCAGCCTCTGATTCTGAGCCAGTCCACCAGACTCCAACACCAAAGCAAAATGCTCAATGTAGCGTAGAGAGAGGCGATCCTGCAGTGATGAAATCACGTCCTATGCAATAGAAAAAAGCATAAGTTCTTCAGTAGTAACGATGACATCTTAGAATTCTAATGTTAGGTGTTATTTTAGCTTCCTAAAGCCTAATTAATTCTGCTGTATCACAATATTTCTAACATTGCTGTACAAAATTAATAGACAGTAGTGGAAAGCAATAGCATCATCAGTGCATAAACAACAGGTGTGACATTTCCATAGCTGATAAAGTACCAAAATCAACACTATTAACTGCTTGGATCCTGCTCAAAATATCTGTCATTAGAGACAAATTAATGAGACATATTTTACAGACTAGGCTTTGCTTCTGAAAAGAACTCCAGATATATAAGGTTTCCATGTCACTAAAACTAAAGCTGTAATTAATCACTGTACTGAAGCGTCAGCGTATGCTTGTCTGGAGCACATTGACACACCATATAGAGTAAGACATCACATGTGTTTGAAGTAACAGTGTTTCTGTCATCAGGTCTGAGATGACATGTTTGGGGATATTGAGCAAAAACCGAAGATATCATGTCAGAAATCACTGTGAGAAATGTAAATCACGCTGTGAAATGAAATGTGGTAAAGGTAAATACTACTTCATTTAATTTAGTTAATTAATATATAACACAATTATCTTCCTTTCTGGCTGAAAATACCAACTAGACATCTGCACCTTCAAAATGAGCAGAAAATTTGTACTCTCTGAATCTGATGTGGTAAACCAGACAGGATTTACCCAAAACTAAACACAGCATGGCCATATAATCAAAGATGCTGTTTTGTGGGTAACTAACTAACTAACTAACTTACTAACTAACTAACTAATTACAGCTTTAAAACAAACCATTTTTATTAAAATGAGCCTCAAATGGAAAAAAAACTAATTGAATGCATCTAAAATTAAACTAATAAACAACACAAGATGTTCCGGAATTCGAGAGAGACAGCTAAAACCAGAATGGCCAAAGTTTCTTTGTTGGCTACTTGTGTTTACCAGTTCCCTTTCAGTCAGGTCTATGAGTTATGTCAGGTAATTGGTAAATTATAAAAGGTGACCATTGTTTCTTATAAGCTCTAATACTTTTCCAGTCTGAAGCAGCCAACCTTTCCACTACCATATGCTTTAATACCAAATTCATCCAATAATCAATGTTTAGAAGCTTAGAAGTTGTCCAACGTTGAAGTGTCTGTTTTCTTTTAGTGAACTTCAATGATCTTCACTGCCTATACAATATAAAGTAAGTCTCAGAATGTACAAGAAGCATTGCGTTAAAATCCGTTGTACTGCAGCATGTTTTTAAAATAGGAAATCATATTTTTCCACAGTTTTTTAAATGGAGTTTCTGTCCTCACCTGTTGATACTGACCGTGCTTGCATTTAAATGACTTTTCATCTTCTTTTACGCTTAAATAACTAAATGAATGCTGAAGTCTATTTAACAGATTATATTTTAATTTATTACAACACTGATGCATTAACCATCACTGCCAATGGCTGAATAAAAATAGCAAACAATAAAGGAGATAAAGGACAACCTTGTCTAGTAGGGTGATATCAGGCAAATTTGGCCATTAAGTAAAATTCCAAAATTTAGTTTGTAAGACTTTTTTCTTCAGTAGTAAACAGCCAATGACAGCAAAGAATTTCAATTGCTGCCATAACAGTACTTGATATTTAGCTAAACCATTTATTGGTTTGAGGTTGCTAAGGCCCCGTTTACACTAGTGCGTTTTAGTTTGAAAATGGCATTTTAGATCAAAAACGATCCGCGTCCACACTAGTATTTCACCTAGCATTTCTGAACATATCTCCGTCCACACTACGCCACCAAAAACGTATATCACGTGACCATTCGCGCACTCTGGGCACGCGCATTCTAGCGAATATATGCCGCTGCTGTAGTAAAAAAGATAGCGTTTAACTGCACAATGGCGCCTAAAATCGACAATAGTGCAAACAACGCTCCCATTTCTTTGTCCATGTTGTTGTTTACAGTGAAGGCTGGTCTGTTGTCTTCCGGTAGCATTAAAGCCATGTGTTATAGTCATGTGATAGGGGCTTGACGAATAAGGGAAGGATATGCAAAGACACAAAAGCCCCAATCAGCTAGCGAATGTCGGCAGCCCCGCCTCCATTTTCAGATGTCTCCGTTTTTCCCCATCCACGCTAAAACGGAGCAGCAGCGTTATGATAACAGCCTCTCTAGCGTTTTTAAAGTGCTCCGTTTTCGTCGCTCGAAAACTCAGGCGTAGTGTGGACGGATGGCGTAACCAACAAAACGTATGCGTTTTCAAACTAAAACGCATTAGTGTAAACAGGGCCTAAGTGGGGAGGGGCAATGCCTCATTCTGACACCACATGAGAAAACGGCAAGGTAAGTGGCCGGATCTTCAATAATTCTTCACAATAACAGCGATAATAAATCAATAAAAAACTATGCACATTTAGAGAAAATGTGTGTTTACAGTAAAATGCAGAATTTTCCCCATAACACTTACCCTAACAGTGGTGCGGCTGTCAAATGTAAAGGATTTGATCTGTCCATTTTCAAGAAACACCTTCAACACATTTGGTATCAGAAGCAGAGAGTCGTCTTTAAGCATGGTCTAATAAGATAAACAAAGGGAAGAAAATAGAGTAAACACAGTCAGGGAACCTTGTATAAGATATGAATGGGAAAACAAATACAGATAATACAAAAACAAAAATGTAATTGTATGAAAATCCTAAAGGAAAAAGGTAATTAAATCTAAAATAATTATTACAGGGTTATAAGAAACAATTCAAATTGATTGGAAATGTTTTCTTTAGACATACAGTATTATACAATTACCAAAAAATAGTACGACTTGAAATTTAAAAGTACTAATAAGTACCTTTGAGGTAACAATATGAACCCGTTACATACGTGTAACTTTTAAAAAGGTACCACCACAGTGACAGCTCTCATACCTTTTTTTTTTTTTTTGTATGACTGAATAGAATTAAGAAGTTGTGTCAGGTTCATCTTTCTATATGCAACTCATAAGTCATCTGAATGTAAACCAATTGAACACAAGCACTGAATTAAACAGAAATCTTCAAGAAATCTGCTTTATTTCCTAAAAAAAATACAAGGATATACTTAGTATTGTTAAGGCTGAACAGGTTATTATATTTTTTTATGGTTCAAAACACAACTACTATGGAAGACTGACTGAAACTCTTTAGATGACCAAGCAGCCAACAAACAGCAAATACTAAAAAAATGTAAATGGTTAACTGTGTTTAAAATATTTAGCTGTTTTTGAAAGTCTCCTGAATCCTTTTGAAATACTAGAAGGATTTTTTAAATTTATGATCATGACTCGACTTTCAAAAATAAGTTCTATAGCTGAATATGCTCTACTGCTTTAACTATTTTTTTTTTATTTTATCTCAAGACTCAAGACTTCTACAGTGCCTCAGAAACTAATGATACAGAGCTGTGGGTCCAGTTTTCAACCAATCAACCAACAAACCATAAAGGTAAATGCCATAGCCCTGGTACAGTCAATATTTAGGGGTTCCACTGAACATCCAATGACATTATTGTTTTGCCATGTAACCTCGACATCTGCTGCTAAAGTCAAAATATAAAAGCAAGGTGTTGGTAAGGCTAATTTGTCAAACTCTCTTAATTTATTTTTGTAACTGAAAGTGTAAAACAATAATTAATCAATAACTGAAAATTTGATTGGTATTTCTATTTGCTATGCCACATATACAAACTGACAAAAGTCTTGTTCCCTGTCCAAGTTTATGGAACAACAAATAATAGTCTTAACTCAAATAGTTTATTATTAAGGTCATCTGGAATGACAATTTCTAATGACAATCTTCAATGCCTTCTACTTTATCTTACCCCGGACATTCTCAACTATGGTCATTTCTGGTGATTGGGCGGCCAATCCTGGAGCACCTTGACTTTCTTTGCTCACAGGTACTTTGATCTGGAGGCTGAAATATGAAAGGGATTGCTATCCTGCTAAAAAAATGCCCTCTCCTGTTGTTTGTAATGTAATGGGCAGCACAAATGTCTTAATACCTCAGGTTGCTGATGTTGCCATCCACTCTGCAGATCTCTCAAATGCCCCCATACTGAATGTTACCCCAAACCATGATTTTTCCTTCACCAAACTTGATTGATTTCTATACGAATCTTAGGGTAAATGCGGGTTCCAGTAGGTTTTAGTAGAACAGATGATTTATCTGAAAAATCTACCATCTGCCACTTTTCCAAATGATCAAATAGAAATCAAGTTTCCCTTCATGGGAACTACAATGTGCGTCTAGTAACAGCCAAGCACTCTAAAGAGAAAGAAAAAAGGCCAATGAATGAGCTTGGCTCTGCAGATGCCATTGATTAGTCATTAGTTAAACATATCAGCTGGTGTCCGTGGAGTGAGCATCGGATTCTTTGCTTCATACCTCTTATTGAGACAAAAGAGCTGCTATCTGCATCCTGATTTCCAGAAGAAACCAGTTTCCTAACCAGTGCAGGTGAAGACGCAACAGCTGCGGTCGAACTGGGCTCCTTTCCCGTCCCCTGGCATTTCACTGGTCTTTAAAAGAGCAGTTTTCTCTAAAAGAATGTTGAGGCGGTGCTCGTGGACAGTTCTTGCCCTCATTGCGAGAGCTTGACTGTTGCGCAGCTGAGGTTGCGGCATACTCTAGCATTAGGGTGTGCTACTCCTCTTGCTCCCCACAAGTCAGTTAGCGCACGGGCAGGTCTGAGGATTACAGTGGGGGCTAATCCGTTGCCTTCGGACCCACGGACCTCTTACTCCTGATCAGTGTGCTTTGTCCAAGCTTCGAGAACGCCGGTTCATCCTCAAGGATGACTGCGCTTTCATTAGATGACACCTGAGGGCGGGCCAACATGCTCTGATGATGATCAGGACCTGCTGCCACCCTCTGGGTTGTTAGCGAGGCTCCAGATTAAGAATTGGACTTGCTAGCTGTGTTATCCTGGGCTGCTTCGGCCGTAGGACTGGACATGGCTTGTCTCCCAGCTCCGCGGCTGGACAGCCTAGATGGGTGTTACATGGGGGTCAAAAAGAATGCAAAGCCTCACAAACCCCCTGTCCTTCCGGCATTTTTTTCTGCCCAGACTTTGTGCGCTCCTGCTCTCACCACCCTCGACAGTGGAGTAGCCAGGGGGTATGAGGCGATTTCTCAGGTGAGGTGCACTATTTTGGTCAATCTTTGCTCGCAAGGCGTCTCCACCTGGAGAGGTCCACCAAAGCTCCCATCCAAAATGAGGCTACACTGCTGTGGGCCAGGCTGTTTTTGCTTTGCATGCTGGCCACCTATCAATGCTACCAAGTGGAGAAGTTAGCCAAGAAGCAGAAGGGTGGTTCCTTCCTGGTCCTAATGAACGAGCTCAGCACAACGACTGATTATGCTCTCATGACCACCAAATCCACCGCCCATTCCCTGTGGAAGATGATGGCCACACTGGTAGTCCAGGAATGCCACCTCTGGTTTAACCTGGCGAATATGAGGGATGCTGACAAAGCTAGCTTTTTCAGTGCGACCATATCGCAGGCTGGCCTGTTCGGCAGCACCATTGGGGACTTTACCCAGGAATTTTCAGCAGTGAAAGAGCAGTCAAAGGCAATGGGTGAGGTCATCTATCAGCGATCTCTGAAATCTGCTCTCCTTGCTGCCCCATCCACTTCAGCTGCTCCTCGCCGAAGACACCCACTCGGGGCTACAAGACCTGCTCAGTCTCCGCTGTCCACTCCACTGGCTAAACGCCAGCGCCAAACCATCGACGGGACTGGAGCCCAAGGGCACCGTTAAGTCCAGTAAACAGACTGCCAATCATACCTGAGACAGGCCAGAGAAGAGGATTTTCTCTCACTCCAGCCTCATTGCTGGATCTGAGCCAGTCCCTCCAGCCGAGATGAAACGCGGGTTTTACAGCTCGTACTTCATCATGTCTAAAAAGAGTGGGAGGGTTAAAACCAATCCTAGATCTGCGTAAACTGAACCATTAATTACCCAAAATGCCATTCAGAATGCTCACACAAAAAAGCATACTCCAATGCGTCTTACCTCGGGATTGGTTTTCAGCTATAGACCTGAAGGACGTATTTTTTTATTTCTCCATTCCTCCACACCACCATCCTTATCTTTGATTTGCATATGAAGGTTGAGCATGGCAGTACAAACTCACGGAGGGTGCCCTAGCGCCTTTATAGCTCGCAGTCATACGCATACTTAATTTTCTTGACGATTAGTTCATACTGGCTTCATCTCAGAATCAATTGATTATGCACAGGGACAGGGTGCTACGGCACCTCGATCAGTTGGGCAAGCTCTGCCCCTCGCAGAGAATCTCCTACCTCGGGATGAAGCTGGACTCTGGCCATGGTAGCACACCTTTCAGAGGAGCTGGTGCTATTCTGTCCGAGTTTATTCGACAGGAAAACAGTGGTCCCACTGAAAACCTTTCTGAGGCTCCTGGGGCTTATTGCATCATCTTCTGCCCCTTGGATGGATCTTACTTTCCTACGGGCCGGTGTGTCCTTAGAATGAGTATCCAGGCATATTGTCGTATTGACAGATGCCTCCAACACAGGCTAGGGGGACTGTGTGCAATGAGCATGCAGTCGTGGGTTTATAGACTGGACCTCGGTTACATTGGCACATTAACTGCCTAGCTGTTGGCAGTGTCTCTCGCTCTTCACCACTTTTTACTGGTTCTACAGCAGAAACACATGCTGGTCAGGATGGACAGCATGGCAACGGTGGCACATATCAACCGTATGGGGTGGGTATACACGTCCGTTGCATGTCTCAGCTCACTTGCCGTCTGCTCCTCTGGAGTCACAAGCAGCTGAAATCCATGTGTGGCATTCACATCCTGGGCAAGCTTAACCTTGCAGCTGATGCACTCTCACAGCACCTAGCATCCCAAGTGGAATGGAAACTCAGTCTTGCTTGGTCCAGCTGATATGGGAGCACATCAGGTAAGCCCAGGTTGACCTGTTTGCTTCACCCGAAAATGCCTTTTGCCAGTTGTTTTACTCCTTGACTGAGGCCCTCCTCGGCACGAATGCGCTGGCTCACAGCTGGCCACTAGGTATGCACAAACATGCGTTTCCTCCAGGTAGCCTAATTGCATAAGCTCTGTGCAAAATCAGGGGGGATAAGGAGCAGGTCTTGTTTGTTGCACCTCTTTGGCCCAATCAGACCTGGGTTTCCAAACTCACACTCCTTGCGACGGCCCCTTCCTGGCGCATTCCCCTGAGAGAGGACCTTCTCTCCCTGGGACAGGGCACCCTCTGGCACCCGCACGCAGATCTCTGTAACCTCCACATGTGGTCCATAGACAGAGCTCCGAAAACTTAGCTGACTTACTGGCGTCGGTGGGTAACACCATTACTAAGGCTAAACACCTTCTAAGAGGCATGCCTATGCCCTGAAGTGAAGTCCATTTTTGCTTCTTGCTAGGAAAACCCCCAAATTTGCAAGGTAAGCATTGTGTTATCCTTCTTTCAGAATAAGTTGGAGCTTAGGCTGTCAACCTCCACAATGAAGGTTTACATGTCTGCCTTCTCCACTCATCATGAAGCGG